GCCTGAGAATAGGCTGTTAATGAGATTATGACTTGCTGCTGCTTTTATGAGTGCCTTATTTTACTTACGCTGCAGAGCTGGTTTACTTTGGTGACATGCTAGTCAAGTCCCCATAATAAGGCAAGTTTTCTTAAACTATTTATAATGCTACTTTAGCCTAATGTTAGTACTTCAATATTCCTCATACGTTTGATCTAGAAAAATTATGGATGGTTTCAGAATATTCAATTTTGTCCTCCTAGGAGGGATTGTTTTATTTAGCATGGCAAAGTAATTTCACAATAGAATCCTAAATTGTGTTTAGGTAGTACCACATGCAATTTTCTGTTTCTTAATGTTTTGACTTCTCTAAATCTGTGCCCCCCAAATAAGATAGTATTTACCTCACTCTAAAATTGTACTGTTATCAGTTTATACTATATGCTTGTTATAGGCTGTATATAACAAATTTGACCAGTGGCATTACCAGAATGTAAGCATATTTTTACATCTTTAAATAACTAAAAAGTGGGCAAGATGCTAAACTGTCTTTCAAGTGTGTAAGACAGTACCTGTAGAAAGACATATTTGGAAAAGCTAAACAGATAAAAGCTAAAAGTGGGATGCCCCTTTTAAATTCAGTTTCTTCTGGGGATTAATTATCCTTATATTATCATATATGGCTACTCAGCAAATAAAAATGATATGTGAACAACTTTTAATTAATTCATATCTGTTCAACAAAAAATGAATATTTACTTCATGTTGTCTGGTTCATTTCTGATTTTGTGACTGTAATTGTTTTCTTATTTTTCTGGCTAATACAGATGTAAATTTCTTATTTCGGAGAAATTTTTGTTAGCTACCCAGATGAAGAAAAAACTTTTTTATAGACACCACATGTACTCACTGTTAAATTGGAAGTAATCAAGCAACACCCAAGTGCACATATGGTAGTAAAACTCAGTGGAAACCAAGCAAGTGGGAGGGGGGAGAAGGGGATGGGTAAATTCACACGTAATGGGTATAGCACATGCTGCCTTGGTGATGGGCACACTTACAACTTTCAATCAAACTGCACAAAAGCAAATCATGTAATCATAACATTTGTACCCCTGTAATATTCTGAAATTAAAAATAAAGACAGATGGTGAAGGGCTAAAAAAAAAAATTGGGGGGAGGCGCAAATACTATCATGTTTAAGGAATGTTAGTTTGGTGTATTTTGGCATTTGGGACTCTTTCATTTTGTAACTTGAATGAGTATTTAGTTGATTACGTTTCTGCTCTCACTGATTTTCACATATTTATTGTCTTTTGGTCAAGAGTTCCATAGAATTTCCTCATGAGCAGAGTTTGTTACCTACTGGTTCTATATAGTATATGGATCAAAAACAAACTATTATAAAGAATCTACCTAGTCATCAGTTATCTGTATTTCTTACTTAAACAGAATAAGCAAGTAAGTTACTTGCTTATTTTCAAAAGTATGGTGAAATAACTGTTTAAAATTGAACAAAAATCTATCTTCTTACTTGAATTTTGTGTTAGCAACATTTAGGCCTTTGTTTTGGTTAATAATGATTATTTCATGGTTGTGCTTTTTAAGTAATACCATTTATTTTCTTATACAAAAATATTCTCTATGTTTTATTAATAGAAAGTTAAAGAAATATACTTTTAAACTTATGTTTCTTTTAATAAAATTATTTTTTAAAGTTTCATTAAAACTTTAATTTCTTCAGACAAGTTATA